TTGGCATTGCCTTCCATAATTCTCTTTTAGCTTATCAAATAGACTCCAACGTTTTAACTGGGCATCCTAGGCCCACTGGGAGTATGCATCTGTTTCCAGTATACTGGTACATCTCCAAACGCTACTCCTTCTCTCTCTGACCAGAAACTATAAAGAATATTACTCGCCATTTGCCAATACTCACCCTGATTTTACTTTCCAAACCCTATCATTAACAGAAGTAGAAATGTGTAGCTTATGATTTAGCACTAAAGAAGTCAGTTAGATACTTGGAAAGGAAAGAGAAACACCTGCAGTTCGATAAACACACATGGCAATGTCCTTATCCTTACAAATTCAGTTAAAGAAAAATTAAATTGATTTTTTTTACTAGAATATGCCCAATCAGTCTTTGAAAGACAGGTGTCATTTTCATAAATTGCTTCTATCAAGAGGAATATTGGGTTGGCAGACAAACATCCAGCATACGCCCCACCTGTTCGCTGAGTTAGATTAAAAAAAGCAAGACCCTCACGCTCTCTTAGTACCTTAGTAACTGCATGTATACTCACAGAGGCCACTTTATTCGGAGATTACAAAGACCAAGATAAAAACAGGAACTGAGAAGAATTGATACCTTCGATATAGTGCACAAAGTCAAGGCGACGGATGGGTGTGATAAGGGAACAAGAAAAAACTTCAACTAGTTCCTCTCCATTTCACACTATCCGGTGTCACCACCATCACCACCAAATAATCTTGACAAAGTAGAAGGATACAGAAACAAGTATTGTTATTATTTTCCCTCACTCCCAAATCCTCATCTCTGCTCTCCCTTTGCACAGAAGACAACAGGGTAAAAACTAGGTTGGATAAAGCACTCTGAGAGAGCGACCACAAGCCACCAGAAATGGGAAGAGAGATGACCAGAGAATTCCAAAGATGACCAACAATAAGTTATCACCTTGCAGCAAAAAGCAGTCTATATCAATAAGCCCAGAAACAGTGAACACTGGCGGGGCTACGCCATGAAAGGAGATTTTCTCTCTTGCTGGACGAACTGTTCCTTGGTTCAGCCTCTTTGGAAAATGGTTTCAAAATGTTGCACAAAATGAAAAATAAAACTTCCCTCTGATGATGCAGTTCCTGGCCATATAGTCCAAGAACACAGTAACACAAATCTGAAAGGACATTTATGGGGATCAGAGCATTATTTACAATAACCCAAACCTGGAAAAACCCAGGTGGCCATTTAGTACATGAAGAGATTGCAATATGCCCCTGCAATCAGATGCTACTCAGCTAGGAGAAATGATGAAGTGCTGTTACTGGGTGGTGCTTGGGGGGGGGGGGGGTCATGTGAAATGAGGTGGGTCAGACAGAAATTGTGAGAATCAACCACTCTGGACAAGAACTGGGTCCTGAAAGGAGGTAAAGTGACATGCATGACACTCAGTGCCTAAAAAGGGAAAAAAAGTGTCTGCCACAGAGACAGGCTGGAGGGGTAGGTGGGACACTGGAGACAGTGGTGGAGGCAAGCGGACAATGGTGAGGGATTGGGTACTTGAACACTGTCTGACTGATCATCAGGAACAACTTTGTAACTTTTTTATCTCACGGTAATTCAAAAATTTGTAAAACTAAAGAATAAAAATGTTTCACTAATAAAAAAATAAAATAAAATAAATAAAATAAAATTGCTGTTTTCTATAACAAATAACAACTCTCGTTGACCTTAGTCTATCGCTCTCTCCCTTTGAGGGTACATATGCCTAAAGCGAACCTCAACAATTAATCACAGAGCAAATCTGCCTGCCTCAAACAGTCTGAATTAAAACGCCCCTAAACTTTTCCTTGGAATTCCAACTGGTGCACATCTCAAATTTTAAGTAACTGCACTGAGGCTTAGTCAGAGATCCATGTGCAATTACTGACCACTGAGGCTGACCCATTAGGAAACTGCTTGGATCTCACCATTCTGACCAGCAAAATAGCAGTTTCGCACACTGCTCATATTTCATATATATAGTTCTCATTTGCTGATAATCAATAAAGGGAACCAGAATGCAAAGATACATGAAATATTTTCACAGCTAGGAGCTGAATTTTTTTTTTTTTTGCAAATCAAGCAAACAAAAAGAAGCAGATGTTCTGTCCAATGTCAAAACTGCGAGCATATAATCATATATTTTAAACTTTTTTGGGGTTCATTTATTTTCATAAAATGCAAATATACTGCCATCCCTAATATTCAGAGCCAATTTTTTTTTGCAGTTTCGTCCCTTAGATTCAGAAGCAAGTAAGGAAAACACACTCAAAGTTCTAACGCCCCTGAATTAAAATGAAGCCTTTTACTCTGCTTTTTCAAGCAGAATCTCTTAGCCACCTCTTTAATACAATCCGTAAAAGACTTGGATATCTGCTGTTCTGAGCACCTCTAAGTTATAAACCAACGCAAATAAGAGAGGTGACAGCTAGCATTGAACATGAAAAGACAAAAAGAATAAAGCATATATAGAATTAACAGAGTGAAAATTCTTTATGATGATCATAAAGGCACTAAAAGGGATTGTTCTGTTCAAAACCCTATTGAGTTTATAAGACAGGATATATTTTAAAGTACTTAGTCTTAGACCTTAGAACAAAAAAGCTTTAATATTTGAAGGGATAAGTTTCATTTGTTTAGGAATTGCATTTTATTTCGAACATCTGTCATGACCCAACGACGATGACTACAAGAGGACTTCATAATACAATTTTTTCAAAACTGGGGCAATAAACAAAAAGATCATAGTGGGCCAAGTTTATAAGAACATATAAACCCCATTCCGTAGCCCTCAGCCCCAGAAGTAACCTACAGGCAATCTAGAAAATTCTAAGATGGAAAGACTCCAAATACATTAAGAAAATCATCTCTGCAAAAGTGTTGCCAAGAATATGAGGGGTGGGGGGAGTGTGAAAAAAGATTATGAGACAGCAAGCAGATATAAAAGCAACCCAAAAGCCCAACCAAGGAATAAAATATTCTGTATAATACTGCCACATTTCAAGGCTAGGGGGTCATTTATAGTAACGATAGTCCCAGAAAGGGAAAAAAATTTTACATTTCCAAGTAAAGTATGGCTAAAGAATAGGATCTCCTGGCAGAAAGTTTAAAAGCTGAGGCTGCTGAAATGGGAAGAAGATGAAAGTGTTCCCACAATCTAGAGATGTGGTGATACATTCAGGCACGACTCAACATGTACTGTACAAGCAACTCTGAGCACGAAGCTGAGCCTAGTTTGGATGAAAATAGGACTTCAGTAGCAAATGAGAGAGTAGATTATTTGAAAGGACATGAGAGGCAATAAAAGGTAGGTCTTAGAAACCAATCCCATTTGGAGAGTGTAGGGTAAAAGATTGCCAAAAAGCAGTCCAAGCTTCTGGACTGAAAAAAAAATGGGTATATAATGGTACCATTAACTGATACTAGGAAAACAGATGAGAAGCATAATATGTTTGCTGGTTTGTTTTTGTTGGTTTATTTTCAAGAGTGTAGGAGAGACGTTGGATGCTGAGATTATTTGGAACCTTCATAGTTTAAGAAGTTTATGGGGGATATTTCAAATAGTTATGTGCAGAGGTCTTATATTCAATAGAAACGTGGAATGGCAATCAAAATGATAGTCACTCAGACGAATAAATATATGTGACTGTACTAGGGGAAAAGGGAGCTCAGATAAAGAAGGGAACACCAAATGAAGGTGTTGGGAGGATCCTCCCAGGATGGGAGAAGCATGCCGAAAGTAGACTATAGACTAAACATGATTGTCACCCATTGCCTCTTTTGCAAACCAAAACACCCAATAAGAGAGAGAGAACAAAAGGGAATGCCCTGCCACAGAGGCAGGGTGGGATGGGGGGGATGGTGGGTGGGAGGGATACTGAGATCCGTGGTGGTGGGAAATGGGCACCGGTGGAGGGATGGGTATTTGATCATTGTATAATTAAAACCCAAGCACAAAAATGTGTAAGTCTGCAACTGTACCTCATGATGTCTCACTATTAAAAATTTTTTTTAATTAAAAAAAAGACAGGTTAAAAAAATTACTTAAAATTCTGAATTTTTATGTAAAATCATTTTTAAATAAAAAAACAAGAATAAAAGACATTTTAACATAAAAATACATATATATGTGACTGATTTCGTGAAAAAAAAAAGGTTAACAGAGGGAACAGTCAAAATTGTTCAATGTTGCTGGATGCTACAAAACGAAGTAACACGTAGACATATAAACATTCATTTTGGAAATCGAGTCAAGACCGTCCATCTGAGATGCAGAAATTGCTTTAAGAATATGGGGTTAGAACTCAGCAGTAAGTTTGTAAACAAGAAGTAGAGAAAATAAAGAAAATAGCTTCCAGGAGGAATATTAATATGGGGAAGGGAAAGATTTAAGTCACTAAACATAAAGAACAGTTTCTATTGAGAATGAGATATTCTTGCTCTTCAATGTTAATGGGTCCTCTTCAATAAGGAACACGCAGAGAGTAAATATTTAGACTGCAGGGAAGCTCTTATGATGCTGCACAGTCTAGACTTTCCTAAAAAGTCTGCTCTAGAGTTTCATGGTCCTCATTTTCCTAAGAAATACATCATCTCGGGGCTGGAGCAATAGCACAACAGGTAGGGCATTTGCCTTGCACGTGGCCAACCCAGGTTCGATTCCCAGCTTCCCAGATGGTCCCCCAAGCACCACCAGGAGTGATTCCTGAGTGCAAAGCCAGGAGTAACCCCTGAGCATCAGTTGGGTGTGACCCAAAAAGAAAAAAAAGAAATATATTATCTCTCAGAATAATGGTAATATCTCTTTCCTTCAGAGTGTGATCTATTTCTTTGAAAGTCTCAGCTGAAAAATTTTCCCCAGTACAACATATCTGGGACCAGGGAACTTGAGTTCATCTGGGAAAAATATCAGAGGTTTTAGTCTAAGGACAATTTCATCACATTCTCCTTTGGGACAACAGTTGAGACTTCTTACCCGCCAATATCCTGCTTTACAAAATCTCCGGGTTCTTGTCGTCTGGAATCACCTTGGCCCTTTGTTCCAGGAAGGAAACAGATGAGGATGCGAAGCCCAAGGCTGAACATATGAATATGATTCATTTGGATGAATATCATCTTCTTAGACACCAACTTGGAGAACCTGTGGGATCCATGTTCAGGAAGAAGAGGGGCAGAGGAAAAGAGAAAAAGAGGGAGAGGAGAAAAGGTTAAAAAACTCAACTCTATTAGAAAGATTTTACCTCCCGAATATCAAGTTATTGATGAATACTGTCAAACTACACTTTCCCCAACATACCAATGTCACCAAAGTTCACTCGCAACCTACCCCTCTCTAGAATAGACTACAACTCATACAAGAAAGTTTCTACATTGGTAAAGGGTGCTCCATCAGTAATTGGTAGGCTTTGGTTATAATTTTTATCTCTTTCCCTGTATTCCAATGACTTAGTGAGTCAGAAGTTCCTCCCAGACTTTAGCTACTTCAAATAATCCAGACTTTAAAATAATCTCCAATATCTTCTGTTTATTTTCCACCAATCCTTTTTGATCTTCCCCATGACAAATGTCATTGTCATAGTCAGCTATGTAATATTGTCAAACATCCAAAAGTAATATTAAGACCTGGAGCTTCTTCATCACTTCTTGGGGGGTTGATTCTCAGTACTATAGTTAAGCCACTTCCCCCAAATATCAAAGGTTCTAGCATAGATAGATTTTTTTTCCTGAATCAATTTGAGAAAATTCTGAAAAATGAGACAAACACTTCTTAAACATCAAAGTAATGCTTTTCTATAAAGGGACAGCTGAAACCAAATTCAGCCTCAAACAGGGACCAGAGCATCAGGAAAGAAGCTTCTCCAACAGAAATTCTAGAGATGTTAACTAATACTGATTACGGAATTCTGTTATTTAGAGTTGCCTACATACAATACCTCTCATGAATGCTGGATGGGAAAGGGTTAATCAAGACAGGGTTAAGAAGATAGTGCAAAGTGATTTTCTTGCTGCTTCTAAACTATATGACTCTTCAAGTATAAACTATTGATCATTCGAAGGAAACCTAACTTTGCCCAGCACCAGACTCTTCAGTAGTCGTGTTAGTGGTTCAACCTTCAGAGGGAATAAGAAGGTATAAAACGTTCTCCCCAGGGGAAGTTTCTGTGAGATTACTATGTAAAACAGACACATGTGGCTTAGCTATTTGGGTTATGAGAAGATGAAGAACAAAATGTATTTTTACATTAATCCGACTTTCAGAAAGCAGCCAAATGATTCTATTGTAGAATATATTGTTGAATCTGATATAGGTACAGAAAACCATGATGCTGGAGAAAGTAGATTTCAAACATGAGGAAATATCTATCATATACAATTATGAATTTAGTCTGCATCACATGAGATTATCAATAGTTTACAAGTTTCTTTTATGGTCAGTCAAAGTATGTGCAGCACCAGCAAGATATCAAAAGGCTCAGACACTAGGAACAAACGGGATTTATACCAGGGATGCAAGGATGGTCCAATATATGCAAATTAATTCATGTAATAAGCCATATCCACAAAAGATAAAAATCATATACAATATCAATCAATGCAGAATATGCTTTTGACAAAATCCACATTTATTCATTATTTTTTAATACTACAAAATAGGAATATAAGGAACATTTTTGAAGGAAGTAATCGTCCAGTGCAACAAACTTGTAGCCAGGATCATACTTGGTGGTAAAATACCGACAGCCTTCCCTCTAAGATCATGGATAAGGCAAGGTTACCAACTCTCTCCACTTATTGAATACAATATTGGAAATCCTAGCAGCAACCATTTGGCAAGAAAAAGAAACTGAAGTAATCCAAATTGGAAAAATGCAAGTCAAATTACCATTATTGCAGATCACATTGACAATATGCATAGGAGACCCTAAAGAGTCCACTAAAAACTCAGAAACAATAAACCAGTCTATCACAGTAGCACCATACAAAGTACGTAAAAAAAGAAATAGAATAAGACTAAATAAAAGGAATAATATTACAGTTGATGGATAGAAAGAATCAACATTTCCAAACCGACCATCCTACCTAAAGCATTATACAGATTCAATGCAATCCCCATCAAAAATGTGACATATTACTCAGTAGCTTAGAATAATCAATTAATAAATTTATATGGAATCATAATATTCCCCAAATAGCCAAAACTAACTTAGGAAAAATAAATTGGGAGGCATTACATTTCCTGACTTGAAACTGCACCATAAAACTATAGTAATCAAAACAGTATGGTGCAGGACTAATAGATTCAAATTGAGGGCCTAGAGATAAATTTTCAGATTTCTGGACAGCTAATCCACAACAGAGATGCTGAGTGCATGAAGTAGAGTTAGGATAGTGCAGGGAAAACTGAATAGCTACATGAGAAAGAAAGAAAGAAAGAAAGAAAGGGAGGGAGAGAGAGAAGGAGGGAGGGAGGAGGGAGGAAGGAAGGAAGGAAGGAAGGAAGGAAGGAAGGAAGGAAGGAAGGAAGGAAGGAAGGAAAAGAAACAGGACCCATTTCTCATGCCATACATAAAAGTTCAATGTGGATCAAACACCCCAAGATTAGACCATATTCCATAAAAAATGCATTGAGGACACTATATGTAGAATGATATCCAGGATCTGGATGTCAAAGGTGTTTTCAAGGTTATTATTCCATTGGCAAAGATAACAGAAACAAGAATGTTTTGGTTCAAATGAGTTACATCAAATTAAAAAGGGTCTGCAGAGCAAATTTGGCATCAAAACTAAAGGACACTCGGGCATGGAGTGATAGTATAACAGGGAGGAGATTCCACTGCACACTGCAGACCCACATTCAGTCCTTGGTACCTCATATAATCCCCTGAGTCACACCAAGAGTGACCCCCAAGTGAAGAGCCAGGAGGAAGCCCTGAGCATTATTGGGTGGAACCCCAAAACTAAAAATAAAATGAAAAGACATTTAGTTGAATAGGAGAAAATATTCACATGTCATATATTTTATAAAGGGTTAATATCCAGAATATATAAAGCACACAAAGAACTCATAAGGAGAAAAATCAAATAACCCCTTCAAAAATGGGGAGTAGAGCTGAGAAGACACTTTCTCAAGGAACACAGGTAGGGACCTAAGGACCGGAGCAATAGTTCAGCAGGAGGGCCAAGTGCCCTGCATGCGGCCAACTCAGGTTGGATCTCAGGCACCTCAAAGGGTCCCCCACACATGCCAGGAATGATCACTGAGCAAAGAGCCAGGAGAAAGCCTGGAGTACCACAGGGTGTGGCCTTACAGATAACCAACAGGCCTATTACAAAGTGTACTGTAGCACTGTAGCACTGTCCTCCCATTGTTCACTGATTTGCTTGAGCGGGCACCAGTAACATCTCCATTGTGAGACTTGTTGTTACTGTTTTTGGCATAATGAATATGCCATGGGTAGCTTGCCAGGCTCTGCCATGGGGGCGGGAGACTCTCCGTAGCTTGCCGGGCTCTCCGAAAGGGATGGAAGAATTGAACCTGGGTTGGCCGCGTGCCAGGCAAACTCCCTACCCGCTGTACTATCAATAACTATAAAAATCAAATCCAAAAATCCTCATATCTCTAAGGACGGTCTAATCAAACTGGATAAACCCAGTTCTGGCAGAAATGTACTGTAAGACAAAAAATAAGAGCTGAATGTAGGTAAAGGGACAAACAAACACCATAAACTTTCAGTACCTGTATTGCAAACCATAACACCCATAAGGGAAGGGGGAAACAGACAGACAGACAGAGAGACAGAGGGACAGAGACAGAGAGAGGAAGTGCTTGCCAGAGAGGCAGGCAGGGGAAGGGGTACAGCAGCAGAGAAACTGGGGACATTAGTGGTATAGGAAATGACACTGGTGAAGGGATGGGCGATGGAACATTGTATGACTGAAACCCAATCATGAACAACTTTGTAACAGTGATCCAAAAAAAAAGTAATTCTCGCTCACTGTTGATGGGACCAGTGTCTGTTTTAGCCTCCATAGAAAACAGTACAGAGACATCTGAAAAACTTAAAATTAGAACTAATCTATGGCCCAGCAATTATACTCCTTGGCAAATATCCGAAGAACAAAAAAAAAAAAAACCCAATGAATTCAAAAAGATCTCTGCACACCTACGTTCATTGTATCACTATTTACAATAGCCAAGATCTGGAAAAAACCCAGATGCACAATGACAGATGAGAGGACAAAGAAACTGTGGTATATATAGACAATGCAATACTATAATTTTCTATAATTATCTAAAAATACTATATATTTTATTTATATATCTAAAAATACTACAAATTTCTAGAAGAAAAGATAAAGTCTTGCCTTTTGCTACAACTTGAATGGAACTGGAGGGATAAGAACCAAAGCAAGGTGATCTCGCCCATATGTGCATATAAAAATAAAGCAAGGACAGAGACAGTATCCCATGCAAAACAGGAGACTCTGAAAACAGAACTAATGTTACCAAATGGAGGCAGGGACAAGGGACAGGGGATGGTATGGACTAGGGGTGGGATAAAGACTGTGACTGAAGGTTTATGGTACTTTTGGTGGTGGTAAGGTACAAAAGTTTCTTACACCAAAAGCATCAACATGACTACTATCGTAAACCGTGTTACCTCAGTGATAATAAATTCTAAAAATTTTAAATGGAAACTAAAAAATACAAAATTCAAAAATTCAAAAAGATAAGAAGAAGGAAGGAAAGAAGGGAGGGAGAGGGGAGGGAGGGAGGGACGGAAGGGAGGGAGAGAGGGAGGGAGGGAGGGAAGGGAGGAAGGAAGGAAGGAAGGAAGGAAGGAAGGAAGGAAGGAAGGAAGGAAGGAAGGAGGGAGGGACAGGGAGGGAGGGAGGGAGGGAAGGAGGGAGGGAGGGAGGGAGGGAGGGAGGAAGGAAGGAAGGAAGGAAGGAAGGAAGGAAGGAAGGAAGGAAGGAGAGGGAGGGATGGAGGGAGGGAAGGATGGAGGGAGGGAAGGATGGAGGGAGGGAAGGATGGAGGGAGGGAGGGAAGGAAGGAAGAAAGAGAGGAAGGGAGGAAGGGAGGGAGGGAGGGAGGGTGGTGGGAAGGAGGGAAGGAGAGGGAGGGAGGGAGGGAGG